GGTAGATGCAATAGAGGTTTCACCTAAGAGCTCAATTTTGAGTCCAGTAACTCTGCAAGATATACAGGATGACATACATTTAAAGATGGTCACAGTCACACAGTCTTCGTGTAAAATAAAACTAAAATTTGAACTACTTCATGTGAGTAAAGCCAAATGAATCATAACTCACTTTTCTCTCTCACGGGTTATAACAAGCAGGTGAAGAAACCCAGCATGATCACCAAGCAAATACCTCAAACCATCAGCATTAACTCTTCCATAAGCTTTAGCAATGGACTAGAAATGCACATGAGGTTTTTGAGTAAGAACAAAAATAGTCCACAAGTAATTACTGCTTAAGATTTTTTTTAAGTTAAATGAAATTAAACACTTCTACAATATTTTTGGCATCAATAAGTAACCAACAGGTCTGACTGGGATTGCTTTAAATGCATTAGCACTGCAATAAACAAGTGTTTCTTCTCAAATGATAAGAACAACGCAGAGAGGTGGAGGTACAGGCATATGCAAACTAGCTCCATTGTCAAGATTGTTTTGGGCCTAGGTCCCTCAACAAAGTCTTTATCCTTCAAAGAAACCTCGTATGTTATGATATGGCAGGTATCTTTGTTATCCTGCACAAAAGAGGGCAAAGTAAGAGGCAACTAATGCTTCAGAAAAAAAAATAAAAATAAAAATAAAAATAAAATAAAATAAAATAAAAAGAAAAGAAAAGAAGAGGCAACTAAGAGCATGCCTGTGTAATTTATAAAATGAATCACAGAACATGAAGCCTTAAGGAAATCTAGGGCTTATCAAGAAACAAGTTCTAAACCATCATGATATCTATCATGCCTGACTTATGCTGCAGACCCACACTCCAGCTCAATGGCAAGGTAAAATTGCCATATAAATTACAATATTTCCTTTCGAAGTATAAAATTTGCATACTTGGAGATCAGGTGTCTAAGGTATATAATCAAGTAATAATATTCACTACTTGACAATAAAGAATGTTTGAAGTTAAACCCTTAAAAGGTATTTACATGGCAATGTAATTGCTTCCTTGATACGCAATTCAAAAAATACTTTCCAACACACTACAGAGAACCTGGGATATTTCCAATCCACTACTCTATCACATAGAGATTTCAAAGAAGAAAAAAGTACACTATAAATAAAATTATTTGGAAAGAAAATTCAGACCTGGTGTAGAACTACAACTGTAGGCTTTGAGCAACTGTATAGAAACTTGATATCCAAAACTTGAAGTTCCTCAAGCCTGAGAGTAAGTCATCAAAAGACACGTGATAATAGGGACAAGTCTAAAGTAAAATATAACACCAGGACATTTAACTATGTGTTTCAGTATTATTTCAGCGTAGGTGAAGCATATGCCAAAAAAAAGAAGTGATTTAAGTGATAGTCAAAACACCAAGTTATTGTGCATCTGCTTTTCATTGTTGTTTGGGATCAAAGCAATTTCTTTGCTTTCAGGGTCAAAAAAATGTCCTATTTGACCGGAAGAACATTGAGAAAAAGCATTTAAAGGAATATCTTATATTAAAAGCTTCTTTGAGCAGTCCTTTATTATCAAAAGGAATAACCTGAGACAACAAGGAGGATATACATGCTTTACCTCCAAAGAACTTTAAAAGTGAATGAAATGGAAGACTGTAACCAACAAATATGTAGGCCTTAGACAGTAAGCTATAAAATTTATTATACCTTATACAGCCCATCATATAAATGAAGTCCAATTAATCTACAATCAGGATCAATTATGCCAATCTGCAAAATGTGAACAAAAGGA